CCAAGGGGTCCCGAAGGGGACCCCCCCCCCCCGCTTTCCCCCGGTGGGGCTGCAAGGAGCCCCCGCCCCCGCGAATTCCCCGTGAATCACCGGCTTCACGCCGGTCTCCCTTGGACGCTCCGAGTACAGCCGCAAGGGGTGTGATCCCCCTGTTATGTGATCCCCTGGTTATGTGATCCCCTGTTAGTGGAGCATGATGTATGTGTAATTTGGCGTCTAGATCTGAGAGATCAAAATTGTTGAGAGGCAAGCTGAAAAAGAGCGGCGCAACTCTCGCCGGCAAGCTGAGACGAGGTGGATGCAGGATGGCAAGCAGTGGATCGTCGCCACGTCGCCCGGCGGGCAGCTGCGATGGGTCTACTTTGTCCGCGACCGGCTTGGCACCGGATGGCGCCGCGACAAAGGCCACCACCATCGGGATCTCTTTCTTGCCCAGCACGCTCTCCTCCCGGGAGACTTCAGGGGGGGAGCGGTAGACGGCGCAGCCGCCGCCGAAACAACTGCAAACCGGGTCGAGCTCGGGCTCAAGGAGCACAGCCCCGCCGGTGCCGTCCTTGCGGCTCCACTTCCCGGAGTCGGCAGCTCCACTTCCCGACTGCCTGGTCCCTCCGACGAATGACCCGAACTCCTGGCCTACCGCGCTCACAAGGATCGAAGGGTAAGGGGCGTCCTCATCACCCAAGTTGCGTCCCTGAGCCAGAGCCTTGATCCCTTCCCCGACTGAGGATCGCAACGACTTGGACCCTTCGATATCGATGGTTGCGATGCCTGAGCCGTCGGGGGCGACCAACGTGGCGTGGAGTTGCTTGCCGCGATTGGCGGACTGAAAGCAGAGCCGCAGCACTTGCTCACCGTCAGGCGTGCGGCTGAGGGGGTGGGGTGGGGCGAATCTTCGAAAAGTTGAGGACAACCGCAGTCCGCGCACGGATGTCTCGGGGCGGAATCACACTGGGTTTGCAGTGCGCGGCCTCGCCACCTCCCTACCAGGGCAAACCCCCTCTCTCCCCCTAGGTGCTGCACTTGACGTCCATAGAAGGCGCGCGGCAGAGGCGGGAGGGAGGCGGGGAGAATCTAGCTCGCTCTGGCAGGGAGGCAAGGGTGTGATAGAGTGTTTGGGTGAGAACAGGCGGAGTGTGTGTGCCTGTACGCGACTGGGAGAGCACTTGTGACAAGGCATGGTTAGGCGAGTGGCAGTCGCTAGTGCGGACTTGCTAAGTCGTGTGTGCTCCCTTTTGCTGGCTAAGACTGGAACAATTTTTTTAGGTCACGCATGGCATCACAGAAGTTTTGTCTCTGGGCCCCGAAAGGCATCTCTAGCAGTGTCGTTACACACACACACACACACACACACACACACACACACACACACACACACACACACACACACACACACACACACACACACACACACACACACACACACACACACACACAAGGTAGGTAGGTAGTAAGGTGAAGAACAGCCAGGCTCGGACTGGACACCAACGCGGTATGGGTGGACGCTGGACAGATGATGACGACACGAACGAGCGACACACAGACACAAACAAGCTCACAAGACACACAGCCAGCGGGCTGCCACACACCCTGAGTCGGCGTACACACAACTCAGGGCCACATCCTCCCTGTCGCCCCCCCCAGCACTCCACGGTGCCAAGGGCACAAACAAGGGCACAACTCAAACAACAGACGACATGAAGTGACATGCGAGGCTAGAGCAGGCTTGCTCTACCTCCAGCAATCTCTCCGGCCGGCGAGGCACGGACGAGACCGTGTGTGGGGTCTAAGTGAGGTGTCTATGGACGCTCTCCTCACGGGCTAGCTGCCTGCGGCTAGCCCTCATCCAAGGCTAAGCGCCCACAAAAAAATACCTCGCGCTGAATCCTGCTTGTGGTCCTATCTGCGCGAAAGGGTGAGTCCGCCTGTGCCCCCCGGTTGCCTCTCTTCGCCCGACGCGCCGCGCCCACTCCCGCGCAGGCGT